ACATATAAAAAACCACTTGCACAAATTTTCAAAAATATAAAGAGATTGTCTTCAGAAAATGATTTTTCATCTTCTTTTCATATTTCTGTATTTCCCAGTTACCATAATAAGTGTATTATATTTCTAACACTTTTTATTGAGATATAATTCACATACCATAAAATCCACCCTTTCAAACTGTACAATTTAGTGATTCTTATTATATTCACAAAATTGTGCAGCCATTACCACTATCTAATTGCAGAACATTTTCATTATCCTAATAAGAAACCCACACCATTAGCAGTTACTCTCCATTCTCCCTACCCCCAGCCCCTGGCAACTACTAATCTACTTTCTATTTCTATGGATTTGCCTACTCTAGATATTTCACATAGAATCATAAAATATATGGACTTTTGTGTCCATCATCTTCCACTTAGTATTTTTTCAAGGGTCAACCATGTTGTAACATGAATCAGTACTTCATCCCTGTTTATGGCTGAATAATACTCCTTTGTATGGATATACATTTGTTTACCTGTTCATCCATTGGTAGGCATTTGGGTTGTTTCCACTTTCTGGCTATTATAAAAGATGCTGCTATGAACGTTCGTGTACCAGTTTTTGTGGGGACATACATCTTCAATTCTCTTGGGTAAATACCTACAAGTGAAATGGCTTTTGGAATCATTTTTTTTTAAACACAGAGAATGGAATAATTTCTTTTAGAACATAGAGAATTGTTTCTTAGTGGAAAATGCTGAATATAAGTACCACCAAACTCAAGGCCACACAAATTCCTTCTCCTACCACAGAGGACAAGGTACCATATTTTTTCTCATTGCGTCTCCTTTATTGTCCCCCCACCCCCTCCATCTAAAGCCCCTGTAAAATTACAAAACTACCCACACCCCACGGCCCACCCCCAACACAGTGGGATTCAGAGCAGCAAGAAAACAAGCCATTTTTTTTTTCTTGACTTGTAGAAAAGACAGCCATAGAAAAAGAACAACATAGACCACTCACCCTTTGGCAGCGTATCAGTCTCTGCCAGGCATTGACGATAAACAGCAAGACTTAATGACATTATTAGGATGCCAGGGGGGACACATAATAAATTGAGGGTCTAAGCAGCCTAAAATTCCTGTACTTATTGACCAGGTTAAAATAAAGACAATACTTCCATTCACATTCACTTTTTTTTCCACGCTTTTCTCTTATCACAGTTTTCCAATGACAGGTAGGACAGGTAATAAATCACTTAATTTATAATACCATTTCACAAACTCAATCAGCATAACTTAAACGTTTACTACACTGATGCAGAAAAATTGTAAAACTAGGCACTGATGATAATTAAGATAGCCTCCTTCTGCTATCTTATAGTTAAATCACAGGATAAGCAAACCACTTAAAAATCTTAAGATCAATCAGCCAGACAAACACCGCATGATTTCACTCATATGTGGAAGATATACTAACACACAGACAGTGAGAACAGTTTGGTGGTTACCAGGGGGAAGGGGGTTGGTGGGTGGGCACAAGGGGTGAAGGGATGCATTTATATCGTGACTGACAAACAAGAATGTACAACTAAAAATTCACAATGTTATAAACTATTATGACATCAATTAAAAAAAACCCAACCATCACAATTAAGGCTCTATCTAAACATAAAAAAAAAAAACCTTAACATCAGAATCAAACTCCCGGCAAAATATTCATCTTATTCTTCCCATCGTCTTGAAGCCTTTAGGTAGATTTTCCTGCACAGCACACTACATTTCTTCAATAACCCATCTGGCCAAGAACAGATAAAGCAGTGATTTCATATGCAAACTATGCTGAAGCAGCATATTCTAATGAGCCTGAAATTCTGTATTATGTCTTTTGCATGTTACAAATTTCTTATTGCTCCGCCCGTATTCCAATAATATTACAGAAGTAACCATCTAAATGCTAAGAAAAAGTAGAATCCTCTTAGGTCACAGTTTACGCTGGCAAGAGGAGACTTTTGAGACATCTGTCTTCAAATTCTATCTCAACCACTTATCAGCTATGTGACTTCAGGCAAATTACTTAAACTTGCTGAATCTCAGTTTCTTAACAAAATGTGCCTAAAGATACATGCCCTTTTGGAATTGCTATGAGAGATAAAACCAACAGTTTGGCAGAAAGCGTGTATTTAATGAATGGGAACAGCTGCCTACCATTCTTATTATTATTAATTTTATTATTAATATTAAACTGGTTATACCATGTTTATCATTAGATGAATGGTCAACATAGAGAGAAAATCTCTTCTATAAGGCACGTGTTAATCCTGCTCTTCATATTCCCACCCCAGTTTTATTTATTTATTGTTTTCTCGTGTTCTGCTTTTTTTTTTTTTTTCTTTGTGAGGAAGATCAGCCCTGAGCTAACATCCATGCCAATCCTCCTCTTTTTGCTGAGGAGGACTGGCCCTGAGCTAACATCCATGCCCATCCTCCTCTACTTTATATGGGACGCCACCACAGCACGGCCTGACAAGCTGTGCATCGGTGTGCACCCGGGATCCGAACCAGGGCCGCCAGCAGCAGAACATGTGCACCCAACCGCTACGCCAGGGGGTTGGCCCTCCACCCCAGTTTTAAAATAAAGGGATTCTACCATAAGGCTTGGTGCAGGAAACCATAATGTCTAATCAGTTATATCATTTGTGTTAGAAATAAAGATGATCCAGTCATTTTGGTTCATAATCCACACTTACCTATGGTTCTTATTTCAAAATTATTATACCCCCTTTGGTGTATCAACAGGAAATAACCCATTTTAATAAAAGATTAAAATAGTTTTATTCTATAGCACATTATGGAAGAGAAAAGTCACTTGTGGGAAGAAACTTAAGGATTGAATCCATATGGAGGGAAAAATAGGGGTTACCTGGACTGTTGCATATTAAATACTAACAAGTCAACATGCACGCTGCATTTGAGTGCATCACTGCCAATCACACCTAAAGTGACAGCTCAGTTATTCAGCGTGACAGTGAAACCTCAATTCTTTAGAACTCTAACTAAACATATTTGTTAGCTGACTTTTGAGGAAAGAGGCGAAATCTGCAACTACTGGAATCAGGCCTTTAGTCACAAAACATCTAACCTCTGGAGATCTAAAGAGGATAAATAACCATTTAGTCAAATTTCTAAGGCTTTCTACATCATAATACAGTATCATATGAGAGAATGAATAATTCTGATGCACTGTTATTTCTTAACAAAAAACATTCCGTCCCATTTAATTGAGTGTTATTACCAAGGTGAGGACTGAACTCCCAAGGAAAAGAGCCATTAACCCCATATTCCCTGAAACGCAAAACCCCAGCTGGAATTAAAGAGACAAACTCTAAAATACAGGGGAAGGGTGCATTCACCAATTCACAAATTAAATTGGGTGCTTGTGGACATATTTTTCTAAAAAGACATAAATGCTGGTTCTTTCATCAGTCAAGTAAATTCAAATTCTAAGTGATTATCAATTCCTGGTAATTATCAACCCGTGATCCTGCACTAGCCTGCCATTCCTCTCTGCCCCGACACTGGCCCCACCCCGCTATACTTTCCCACACCCAAACTCCACGCATCTACCTCCTTGGGCTTTTAACTTCTGAACAATAATGATGGGTAGGTGGAAAGAGTTGAAAACAGAAAAATCAAAATCAAGGCATCTCAAAATAGAAGAGGAAAATAACATTTTTACTGGACACTTGTGAATCAATCAGAATCCATGGGAAAATATCAAATACTTATAACACATGCCAACTTTTTATAGATAGATAGATAGATATATGTATATGTATATCTATATCTATACCCTCCTTGTCTAGCTATTTCAGACAAGTGCCTGGCTCTGGAGAAAATCTTATTTAAAACCAGTCTGCTTAATCACACTCCTGCTTCTTGTCTGCACCATTATAACATTATGATAATCAAGTAGCATTCTGTTTTAATACACATTAGGTTAAAACCTTCTTTAGTAAACAGCAATAATAATAATTTGGGGATAATAAACAGTGATATAATAAAAGAGGAGGGAGAAAACATGGTATTTTCTTTTAATAATAAACATAAGAATAGAGTTTAAGCCATTAATTTTATTATCTGAAACTAATCAAGCCCTGACAATTGTTTTATGAAAACAAGCACATCTTAATTCGGAATTTTTAAAAAAACCCTAGGAGAGGTCACATAATACGTGACAGGGTAAAGGAACAAGAAAAGGCAGCTTTCACACACACCTAAAAAGCTGCCACAGGCATTTGATCAAAAGACATAGTTTGTGCCTCTATTTACCATACCTGAACACACTGTTCTGCCACGCTGCATGTTAATGAAGAATACAAAACAAAATAGCGAAATGTTAGCAGAATAAAACATAAAACTACTGCATGGAGAATTAAAAAATTAATTCACAAGTTTTTATATCTAGTATGTAACATGGATTAGTAATTTAACAATTTATTTTTAACTCAATTAACAAACCACGCATCTCTTAGTTATGAATGGATTACCCACAAGACAGGTTTAATTTGTTAAAATATTTTGTCCTTTTCAGATTTCAGGGCAAGTTGTAAGATCCTGTTACAAGAGTCTCCTTCTTTTAAGTCAATTTTTAATTCACTTATCAGAGCAACACAGAGAACAAGAGAGCAAAGACAGGCCTTGGGGTTGTGTCTATTTGGTGCTGTTTTAAACATAAACATTTTAGTCATTATTTAGCATCAGGTAAAAATAACCATTGTCAAAGTGAAATAGGACCACAAATCTAGAATAATAAAACCAAGTTTGTAACAACAGACATGTAACATACATTTTAACTGAAAAAAATAGGAAGCTGTCTGAGTTGTTCATAGTTCTTAGTTCAGAGGGTATAAGCTTCCATTTAAAACTTTTCAGTATATTCAAAAACAGAATGACTATTGACTCAGCTTCACTAACATTTCATGGCAAAAGGGTTAACCCCAGGGCAGCACTTACTTCTCTTCTGTGACACGGCCTGCAAGCACGCAGTCACAATATCGCAGTTCTTCTGTACTTTATGCAGAAGCCTATCTTTCTGCTTCAGCTGCCGAAGTAACTTGGCCGACTGAACGCCAATTCTGTACTTTAGCTCTTGAAGGATCGTCTTCAGTTCATTACTGTCTATCAGTAAAGAAAAATAAAAAGAGAGCAATAAACATCCTAAGAGGAATACAAATGCCAATGTAATACTAATGGTAAGATAAATGTCTAGAACATCCATTTAAATCAAGTAATTATGGGTTCTCACCCAGGCTTACACGTACGCATTCAGCTAAGATATTCTGATCAAATAAATCACTTACCTATTGCCTGCCCTGTCCATGAGACAAATATTGTAAGATAAATTTTATCCTTGAGGCTACCTGTAACATGTAAGTAAAGACTCTTACCATATCTAGCTATAGTTGCAAATTTACCTTTCATTGCCCGAAAATTGGCATGTACACTTTCTATCATTAAAGTGCTCAGATGGTAAGCTTGCAAGAAAAGAATCTTTTTGTGTCTGTTACATCAACGATAAACCTAATAGCTAATAACAAATGTTTTTGAAAATCCTCACCTTTGCTTGTAAATGACCAGTCAAAAGTAAATAATATTATCTCGTTTTCTTTTTTTTTTTTTAAAGATTTTTTTTATTTATTTTTTCCCCCCAAAGCCCCAGTAGATAGTTGTGTGTCACAGCTGCACATCCTTCTAGTTGCTGTATGTGGGACGCGGCCTCAGCATGGCCAGAGAAGCAGCACGTCGGTGCGAGCCCGGGATCCGAACCCGGGTCGCCAGCAGTGGAGCGCGCTCACTTAACCACCAAGCCACGGGGCCGGCCCTATCTCGTTTTCTAATGTAGATGATATGTGGCAATACTGGTTTTATTTTAAACATACAGTCTTCCGACAGCCTGACTATTAGGTACAATATTTCATCTTACAGACTCAGCAATTTTTCAAATATGCTAGAAAATACAATTCCTTTAAATAGATAAATTAAGGATAATTCTACATTCACAAAACTAATATTCTCAACAGTTTTCTACAAGTGCAAAAATACTTGGGAATCAGAAGTGACAACAATCTGTATATGAATAATCATTACAACTTGACCATTTTGTTTGTCACACAATATCATCATTACTCACTGCCAGGCAAGAGAAGCCTTCCACTCAATTTGGCATTGGCTAGGCCCTCAGTAGAGGTCCTGTGTGGGGTGTTTGGGTCTACTCATTTTTAAAGGGATTTGGAGAAACTAGAGAGGATCAGAAGAGAACAAAAGAAACGTTAAAAGTAAGAAAAATACTCCAGGGGTCAAAGGAAGCAAACTCTGGGGGTCTGTATAAGAGAAGTGCAGGGGGGGCTTTAACAGCTGCCATACTTGACCACATCATGGAACCTGCATCTGACCTTGAGTTTAAAAGCACTGCCTCTGGGTCAACCGACTACCTGTGTGATCTTAGGCAAGGCAGTGCCATAAGTCTCAAATCAGGCTTAGCACACATGATTATTCTGAGAAACAAATGTGAATAGTCTTTATAAACATTCATGTCAATAGCTCTAAAATAAGAACAAAGGATTACTATACAGAAGAGAACAAAGACCAGTTATTTCTCTCACCTTGAGTTTGAACACGGCGGGATATAACAGGAAGTAAGAGCACACTTAGGTTAAATGAAAGTATTTGGGTTCTAAGGATGATTAAATATGGGGACAAGCTACAAGAGGAAACCAGAGGCTATTCATTCCTAGGTTCCTTCAGATAGAGCAAGTAGCCTTTTTATGAATGTTTAAAAACTTTCCTTGTAGAAACAAAAGAAGTAGCAATATCATCAACATCTTGCATTTAAATTATACTTTTCTTCCACAGAGAGTCATTTTCAGTGACTCTTAAGGTACCTACAGCTCTATGATTCTCTAAATTATATGTATTGTCCAATATGGAAAAATCTTCAGAGTTGAATTTGGAAAAGTCTTCTACAGCAATATCTGCTAGTATATAAGCATCCTGAAGACAGGAATAAGGTCTCCTTTACCTTTGTAAGCCCCACAGCATCAGCCATAGCTCCTAATATGGTGTTAAAAAAATGAGGAACAATGAGGAGATCATCAACTGACAAACAGTGGACAATTTCCTCTCTAAGGAATTCCAGAGTATACGATAATGAAAATAATATCTAACATTTATTGAGGACTTCACACACATTAACTTATATCATTCTCACTACCAACCTCTGAGGTAGGTATTACTATTATCCCAATGCATAGGTGAGGAAAATGAGGCACAGAGGTTACAGAGCTTGCCCAAGGTCACACAGCTAGTAAGGAACAGCCACAGGATATCAACTCAAGCATTCTGACTCCAAAGTTCACCCTCTTAATGAAACCGCTGAGAAGAAAGCCTAGATCTCCTGAGAAACCAATTTTGGTGCCTCACATAAAAGACCGTACACACGCTAAATATCTAAAGAGGTGCTACATCGATGCTACAGCAAAATCCCTCACAGAGAGAGGAGAGAACAATCTGCATTATATGAGACTCTCACTAAGTATTATGTTAGGAGGGATATTTTTTGACCCTGAAAAAAATCAAGTAACCTAATAAGATGTACAATTATTTAAGCAGACAGCCATTTCCATCACCTGATTCTTTTTTTGAAAAATGATCACCACTGGGATTCTAGTTAACATCCATCACCATACATAGTTACAAAATTTTGTGTGTGAAAACTTTTAAGATCTACTCTCTTAGCAACTTACAAATATGTAACAGTATCATTAACTACAGTCACCATGCTGTGATTTTAGATCACCATGCTGATTCTTTATTCTTAGTACTGTAACGATGTTTACCCATAAAGGGGTGTGTGTGTATAGGACTATTTTAATACAGTGCCTGTTCCTCCTAATAGGGTTGACTATAAGGGAAAAAAAGATTAACAGGCACCTAACCACGCTATAAGACTGAGACATGCGTAAAACAGACTCTTATAGGTCTTATGAATGATTAGTAGAGTGGCCACTCATTGAAATCCACTTGCAAAGCTGTACTGATACCTCTTCTTTAAACTTGAGCTTGCCAAATTTCCTCTTCCGAAAGGAAACTACTAATCTCCAAAATTCGCTCAGTAATGAAAAGTGAACAGCCTTGTGAAAACCAGAAACCCAAATCCTAATTCTTCAAAACTGTTGGATTCTGAAAGAACTGTTGCCCGACGGAACTCTTGCCATAAGCAGACACTCCGAGAACAGCCAAATAATTGTATAAAATGAAATGGCACAATTCCAGCTCAAGTCCCAGGCAGGGGGAGGGAGGTGGAAGCCATTTGTAACAATCAGCTGGGAAAAAAACCTTCACTGGGAAGCCAAAAGAGGAAGCTGAAGCTGTTTACACAGATTTGAGAAAGCAGATTTATTCCTTTTCTGTTTTTTTTTTTTTTTTCCTGGCACCAGCCAGTCTGATTTTACAAGTAGGAGACAGGAGACCATTCTGGAGTATTTTCTCTTTCCTTCCTCCCCTGGTAATTTAGCACAAGGACATTAACTCAAGAAATGTTATGGTGGCTTAGCATCTGTTTTCCACACCTCACTTCCTTTTGTAAATTGAGGTCATGATACATGTATAAAAAAGAAATCTGTAATAACTGTGTTAGTGCCTGAAAGGCAAGCAATTATGAACACTGGTGAGAAAAAAAAATCTCCATTAGGACGCGAGCATCAAATTCTGATAACGAAAGAAACACCAAATTAGCCTCTCCCCTTGAAAGCCAAGGCCATTTTCCGGTCGACCTCTCCAGCAGTTAAATTCTGTGATAGCCCTCCACTGACCTCCTGCCATGGAGGGGAAAAATAAATCCACCTAGCGAGCTTCTTGAAGCCAGACGTTCTGGCAGAAGTAGAATTCACACGCTCTGCTTGGAAACTGCATTATCGAATTATTCTGCCTCACTAGTTAAACACTATCCAAGTGGTGTGGCCGGGGAAGGCGGACTTAAAAAAGGAAAAAAAAAAAAGCCCAGTAGTCGCCTCTGTTCTCCCGGCGCCCTCTGGGTAACTCCAGATACACACAGCACAACTCCAAGCCTGTCCTAACAGCTGTTCTGGTGAAACTGGGCCTGGACGGCCTCCCCCCGGGGCCTCCCCCAACATTGCGGGGGAAGGAGGGAGACCCGCACTACCTCTCCAACACTGATGCTCCGCTCGACCCTCGAGAGGGGATGGGGGGCGACGACAAGGACTCAGTCCAGTCAGGAAGCAGGGAGACTGTGGGCACCTGCGACAGCTCAGAGGGGCCGCCCCCAACCTCTCCGAGCGCCGGCCGTCAGTGCAGGTGCGCCCAGGTGGGGCCCCGGCCCGCGCCCCCTACCTTTCTGCCGCAGGTACTGCATCTGGTGCCGCTGGCTCGGCCGCCCCTGCAGCTCCTGCAGCTCCTGCAGCAGCCGGGAGTCGCCGGCGCCGCCGCGGCCGCCCAGGA